CAGGCGGTGTCGAGGCTGTCGGGCCGACAGCGAAGATCCTTGTGGTCGGCTCGAGTACGGGACGTCCCAGCTCCCTTGAGCCGGCGAGCGAAGAGATGGTGGAGAAGTTGCGCGGAGACGACGGATCCAGCCTGGGAGACTTGGGAAACGGCGGTGTCCCGAAGCTGTCGGAAAGGTCGACAGACTGCTGTGGAACCTCGCTCGCATTGTCAGACGTGGATGTATGCGCTTCGTCCGCAGCTCCCTGAGACGTTGGCATTGAAGCGGATCGGGGCTCGTCTCCGGATGTGGGTACGGGCCCCTGTGTGGCTTCGAACGACATGATGATGGCACGGAGTGGGCCCTCGGGTACTTTCGCGGCAATTGAAGCAGAAGCAGATGCGATTAGAACGGACGCTGTGGAAGCCAGGATGACATCTTGAGATGCCGGTGGTTGTAGATGGTTGCCTGCGAGTGACGAGGCAAAGGCGGTGCCTAGGCAAGCCACAGAGGTGCAGAGGATGAGGGCGGTGGTGTCTGGTGATGGAAGCCAGGTAATCAGACACTGCGGAGGCGGATGCAGTTGGCGTCGTGATTCGAGGAGCGGGCGACGCAATCAATGTTGGGGCTGAGCGCGGTTGGGAGTGCCGATCTTGCATGTGGGGATGCAGGCGAGAGAGCACGGTGACTTAACTCTCTCACAGCAAGCACAGTCGAGCGCGCGGTGGGACGCTTTTGTGGCACTCGCCCTCCACCATCCCAACCACCTGAGCCGCAATCGGCCAGTGTGAGAGCACCAGTGTGACTCCTGCAGGGTCCTTGCTCGAAATCTAAGCATCGCTAGCTCCGCCTCACGCGCCTGCCGTGCCCGCGCCGGCCGCGCCGCCTGGGCCCCTTTCTGTTCGCGCACCCCTTGACGCCACTGCCCTCCCTCTGCCATGGCACAGGTGATTTTTGGAATCGCCGATTTTCGAGCTTTTGCTGCTGCCGATGCGGCATTCCTCTCTCGTGGCAGATCGTGCCCGCATGGCCGTTTTTGAGATTTTTGAACAGCGAGGCCGATGCCCGAAGAAATGCCCAACGGCATCCTCTTTCCCTCACTTCCTTGCCTGCTCGCTTCCACCTGCCGCAACCGCTCAACGCAGAGTCCACCGTCGAGCCCATTTGGTGACAACCTTCTCGACCATTTCCCTTATTGTACGGGCATTCACGCCGTTCGGATCTACGGCACAGCAAGCTCCAGCCGTACTTCTGCCTCCGCTTCGTCCTCATCCCCAGGTTTGGATCAGCTCCTGGTCGGCCGGAATCAGTCACAATGTCGAGAGGTGGTCGCGGCGGCTTCGGCCGCGGAGGTGGTCGTGCAGGTGGCGGAGGCGGCTCCAACATGCCGCCCATGGGTCTTAGCTTCCAGGAGCTCAATACTCTTGACAAGTCGCCGTCTAAGCTCTATCCAGAACCGCCGACGGTGCCGCGTATGGAGAGACCGGACGACAAGGAGATCCGCTTCGCATCGTATCAGCTCATGTACCTGCAGGAGCAAAAGACTTCCGCCTACTGGCCTGTCTTGGAACAGCGCAAGCAGGGCGACCTCACGCGATTCTCGGATCGGTACCGACCCGAGTCACAAGACCTTCCTTCGCTCAAATCGATAAATCTGCAGAAAGAAGTGTTTCCAAAGGGGCTCTGGGACTCTTTCATGGAAGGAGAGACAAAGAAGGAAGAGCTCAAAGCCAAAAAGAAGGCTCGTCGCAAGATCAACTGGGACTCGATCGATCTCGAAGATCGCGCTGGCGTAAGTCTTGTACTCTCATATCGCAGCAGGCTGTGCTGCGACACATCCACTACCCAGCATCTGTCAACTGACTCCGTCGCTTTTCTCGACTGCTTTCTCTCTTCGCTGTATGATAGGCCGAAGACGATGTCGGCGATGTCTCGTCCGAGGGCGAAAACCAGGGCGACTACGAGGACGAGGTCGACGATGACTACGCAGAGAACTACTTCGACAATGGCGAGGATGACGATGTCGGTGACGATGATGGCGGCGAGCCCGCCTATGATTGATCATCGACAGCTGCAGAGCTCTGCGTACGCTTCGCCATGCTCGTCGCACTGCATCCCCTTGGCGCCTTTCCAATTTCTTCCAACTGCATTTGTATTTGTACCTTGTCACATCATCCAGCATCTTTGCAGCTCTGTGTCTCTTCTTCTCGGCCTTGACAAGCACGCTGAGACCAGTTCAGGCAGCTTCGGCGTCAGGCAAAGGTGGAGTGCGAAACGTTTGCCGTGTTAGGTCCACCGACCCTAGCTTTGGAAGTCGCGGCCTTTAGCGCGGCCAAAACGGTGGAGGCGGGGATTTTTCGGTTCTCGGAGTCAGGGCGTGCTGTGTTACCGAGCTTGTCGCAGACGACATCCGGCTTCTTCCTCCTCACCACTCCTTCGACTGCAATCGCTTTCGGTCCAATCTTTCAATATGAACTCCGATCTCAAGTAAGCACAAAATGCGGTCCGGTCAGAGTTTCCTCGGTGTCGTACTCGAGCTGATGTCGTGGCTTTCCTTTGTGGGCACAGCTCGATCCTGCACTCGGGCTACCAGCACCCGGTGACGCGGGCATGGCAGAACCAGGGCCGCAACCTGTCCAAGTCGATGTTCATGTATCCGATTTTCATCACCGACGACGCAGATGCACATGTCCCGCTTGCCTCGATGCCCGGCCAGTGCCGATGGGGCGTCAACAAGCTCGAAGGCTTCCTTGCCCCGCTCGTCAAGAAGGGCCTCAGCTCCGTCATCCTCTTTGGCGTGCCGCTCAAGGCTCCCAAGGACGAGCAAGGCACACTGGCAGATGACGCAGACGGCCCTGTGATCCAGGCGATCAAGGTGCTGCGCAAGGCGTTCCCTTCGCTCTACATTGCTACGGACGTGTGTCTGTGCGAGTACACCTCGCACGGCCACTGCGGCATCCTGCACGCCGACGGCACGATCAACAACCAGCCTTCGGTCGAACGCCTTGCCGAGGTGGCAGTCAACTACGCCAAGGCGGGCGCGCACTGCGTCGCACCCAGCGACATGATGGACGGCCGCGTGCGTGCCATCAAGAAGGGCCTCGTCGATGCCGGCTTCGGAAACAAGGTCACGCTCATGGCGTACAGCGCCAAGTTCGCAAGCAGCCTCTACGGTCCCTTCCGGTAAGTGCAGTGCCAGTTCAGATGAAGCTGCAGATGAAGCTTCAAAATCGGATTCGTAGGCTGACGTTGCTTTCCCCGTTCGAGCTCGTAGAGATGCTGTGGAGTCTGCGCCGTCGTTTGGCGACAGGAGGTGCTACCAGCTTCCGCCCACTGCGCGAGGGCTGGCACGACGTGCGATTGTGCGCGACGCTTCCGAAGGCGCGGATGTGATCATGGTCAAGCCGACACTGCCGTACCTCGACATTGTGGCGGAAGCGAGGGATTTGGCCCCCGACCACCCGCTTGCGTGCTACCAGGTGAGCGGCGAGTTCTCCATGATCCACGCCGGCGCCAAAGCGGGCGTGTACGAGCTCCGCAGGATGGCCGAAGAGTCGGTCCAGAGCATGGTTCGTGCCGGCGCCAACATCATCCTCTCTTACTTTACTCCCGAGTTTCTCGACGTAAGTACCTCGCTTGCTGCTGCTCTTGCTGACCGATGTCACAGGCTCGAAGAAACGTTGGCGGAAGTCAGAGCTGACCTTTCAATTCTCGCCTTGTGTGTGTACTGCAGTGGCTCGACGAGCCGACCATGCTGTAAAGCAGCCAAACTGACATCTTCACTGAGACCCTTCATGGTGAATCAAAAGGACCCCCACACCGCTCCGTAACAAAGCTCGGTCTGTCTGTCCGTGCGGTCGGATGAGAAGGGAAGGGAAGAGGGGATCGATCGGGGGGCCGTGCCGATTCGGTCAGGATCGGCGACAGAGACGTTCGGGGTCGGTGAACATTCGGGATCGGAACAGACCAATGAGAACCCGCAAGCGACGCTCGGGTATGTCAACTGACCGGACGGCAAAGCTGCCGCCACGATAGCGTGCATCTTCCAAATTCCGCCATGGTTGCCAGCGATCCTCCTTGCAGCGTGTCTTTGCCAGAGCACCGATCGGCCAGATTCCACCGCAGGAGCATGCATGCTTGGGCGGAACGGAATCGTGCACAGCAGATGCTTTGACCCAGACCACCGCTAGCAAGGCGCGGCTCAACCGGAATGTGAAAAGTAGGGTCTGCAGCTGGAAATGCATGCTTCGGCAGTTTTCCAGAGTGGATTTCTGGCGCTGGCACGAGCTCATGCCTACACCAAAGCCGGGGCGCCGAGTTCCGTGATGTGGCGCGCACAAAGGAGCCCGCGTCGGGAAGCACGAGGCGAACCATTGTCGAAGCATTCGCTTTGTCCGGCGGGAAGCATGCAGGTAGCCGGATTGCATGCAGCGGCGAACGCAGGCCGGTGGCACTCTCTGGTACTTTACGCTCCGCCGCGCGCGTAGGGACACCCAATCGCAGACGTGGGAAAGCTGCCCAAGCCATGCAGCCTAGTGTCTGCCAGCAATGATTCCGTGATGGAGGACACGAAGGGGAGGATGGCATTGCGGATCGGCCCAGACCATGCCGAACGCCCCCGAACAAATCGGGTCGGCGAGGCGAGGCAAAGCTATCCGGGCTGTACGCATGCACTAGTGCGGCGGGGGTTGTCCCGGAGTGCGGAATGTTCAGTCCGAGCTCGTACAGCTGGGTCGGATCCCGGAGAGGCAGACTGGGAACCACTTGTTCGGCAGCGACCAGAACAGAAGGCCCACAAATAGTTGCTCGCAAAAAGAAAAATGGACATCTCGCCCGGCCACGCGACTGGAGCGTGTGTGGATGCGTGCGTGACTGTGGCGACGCCAAACCGAATTCTCGGAACGGTCCAAAATCGCTCGGGAATCCCGGTCTCGGCAATCTTGCGACTCGATCGGTGTGCGTCTCATGTCAGCCTCCTATCCACTCTGCAATCCGGACTCCGCCTCAGTCGCACCTATTGTCTAGGCACAGGCGAGGATCGAGACCGAGTCGCTCCGTTGTTCCCCCGTGACTGGAAGATCCTCGGTGAAGCCTACGAGAAGCGAGCCCGTTTGCCATTCGACGGGGCAACGACGGGGCAACGACAAGCCTCGTCGCGGTGTCGACAATGATGGTCCGGGCTGGGTCTCGGGTTCGTCAGGTTGCCGACAGTGAAGCCGAGCGGCGATATCGCGGAGACCAGCACGTCCTCGGCTCGACGTCGCATCTTTGTCGCTGGCGCCGAGGCAGACCCTTGACGAGCAACACCGGGACCGCACCGAATCCGCGCCGCAATTTTAGGTCAGCGTCGCGCTTGCATGTGACCGAACGCTCAAAAAGCGAACGCGAACCGGTAGCCTGGCTCTGCCGCCATCTCGAGCTGTGCGCGAGGCGTGCCGTGTCGTCGGAATGAGAATTTCATTTTTTTTTAATCTGATTTCGTCGATCGCGAGCGCAGAGCGGTGACAGAAATAGCCTGGCACGCTCGAGGCTCGAGGCTTCCATACTGTAAATCCACCAGCCACGCAGCGCTAAGCGGCGTTCCATTCCCTTTCGGCAATCCGTCGATGAGAAGGGATTTCATGCTCCGCAACCCCTGGCCCCTCGCTCTACTGACGTCGCATGTGTGTTGCTAAAGTACTACGGCACTGGGCAGGCCGACGAGAAAGACGGTATTTCAACTTGGGCCTCTGACGATCTGTGCCGGTCAACCACTCTCGCCTAAGTCGGTCAACCGCTTCTTCTCCCGCTCCCGGCTCAACTGTGATGCCTAAATGCATCCGAGCTGCAAGCTCATCATCTGGGACATTGTACCGCCTGTGAATCTGATTGCTAGTCTGCACAGTGCATTCGGGATGCTGGTCGCTACGGCTGCCAATTTATGTTTATTGGTCTGCGACCGTCTTGGCAGCGTAGCAGCCATCCTTGTCTGCTTGTTCATCGAACCTCGGTACGAGTCAATCTCAACCTTGGCTGGCCCAGACCGGACCAATGGGACGAGTGGTGCCGAGGCTGCCGCGAGAGATCCCTTAACGAGAAGGTGGGGGAAGATGGCCGTCATGCTGTCGCTTCCTTTGAGCGTCGCTCGAATCTCGGTCCAATTTCGCGCTTCTCCACGAAACTACCCTATCGCCTCGAGCGACACACAAAGCCACGCGATACCGGGTCCCTGAACCTTTGCCTGCCGGCTCACCTTCATCTCTGGCATTCCTAGCATTTAGGCCGCGGCTCCCGAAACGCCAGGTGACCGAAAGAGCGCGCTGAATAGCATTCCGAATAGGTCGTCATCGCGTCAACGTGTTCCGGCATGACTGCGCTATGATGCTCGGAGCGTTTCTCGCACCCCGACGACGCCGCTGATTGGCAGCCTCAACCACACAACGACGGCGTGCGTCGGCCCAGCCTCTTTTCACACGATGTATCTGCTGTCGTGTCCATTGTTTTTTTCGGCAAGCGGGAGCCATGCCCCAGGCGGAGCTGCGAGCAATGCCCGAACTCATGTTCTACGGGCGCACATGAATGGTGCGCCTCCGTCTCGCCGTGGGCCGTCTGAACCAGGTCGCGACCTTGGCGCTGCGCTCGTGTCCGGAATTGCCCTGCATGGCTGCTAGACTCGTCTGCAGTCCATATGCACCCAGTTGCACGCCACGGTCACCCCGTATGCCTTACTCTTTCCACACCGTCGCGTGTCTGCTTCCAACGGCGCCGGCCTCTGATCAACAAGGCGGAAGTTCCTCGTGTCGTTCGGAATTCGTCAGCCTGTCTCGTTCGGGTTCGCCTCGGCTCAGTTTCGCAACTGCCAATCCTCTACCTCGTCATTTCCGCTGGTAGAGGAACACGCCGCTCCGCTCAGAGCACCACAAGCGAAGCCCGGCCCGCCTGCACGACTTGCAGCGCTCAATCCTTCCTTGCCTGTCCATTCCTTGCCTGTCCAAGTGTGTGGCGCACATGGCGTTCCAATCACCTCTGCGGCCAAAGCGCGGCTTGCCACCCTCAACCTTTCCTGTCGTTTCACCTTGCTTCGGTGCGTGGAATAGTGCCCACGTTCATCCGCGGCTGCTGTTGCGTCCACCTCATCTCGTCTAGCCGCAGTCACAGATTCAATTCCGGCTTGTTGACAAGGTGCAGTTGTCCCGTCGATTGCGCATGGGTCTAGAGCTCATCGGAAAGTAAGTTCTGCTTCGTATCGCACTTGGGCCTGGCTCTGCTTTCGGCAAAGGTTGAGTCCCATTGTTCACCCCCACCGGGAACACCTGCAGGCATCGGGGTGGTACAATCCAGCAGACGGCTGCGTTGTCTTGTCTGCCCTGCTCGTTTGCCTGTTCCGCCGATCTATCTTTCCCGCGGCGCGACTCTACGTGATTCGCTCGCACCACTCCCGACCGCTCGACCTACAATATACCTCACCTCCCCGCTGGAAGGTGCTCCCCCTCTGCCAGGAAGACGCGCATCTTCCTTCCTGATCTTCACCACTTCCCCCTCTACCTGTTACTCCTGTTCCTGACAAGGACTGTCACCGTCTCGTCTCGTTCACAGCGCCGTTGTCGTGATCGAGTAGTGCCATAGCGCACCCACCTCATTGCTGGATCTTCGACAACCGGACATGTCCACAGCTCGTCACCATAGTGAGCAGAGATCCGTCAGCAACCTACTGTTGCGACAGCGACCTCTTTGAACGCCAAAGTCAGCGCCGGCTCAGAATCGACTAGACGCATGCGCGACCATTCGATACAGCCCTTTGTCTATTCCTTCCTCCATTTGCATTCCCGCTTGTAAGGGCCGCCAAGCCCGTACAGCCCTTGAGGTAGGTTTGACCACCTCTGGCGTCCTCGGTGCGGCTCTCCATGCCGGACCAGGACGTTCGCGGCGATGGCGCCGAGGGCGTGCCCGCCACCGCCGGCTATGGCCCTCCTCGCAGGGAGGAGCACATGGAGCCATCCAATCATTCGGCGGATGATGGTCTCGTCGTGGCCAGCTCCTCGGCCCCTTCGGATGCACGAGATGCAGCACGCGACGAGCACAGCGACACCACATCCACGCATCCCAGGAGCAATAGGATGCGGCCGTCCGACACGCTCCGCCGCTCGCAGGCATGCCTGGCGTGTCGCAAGCGAAAGTTGCGGTGCGACGCCCGAAAACCGACATGCACCCGTTGCGAAAAGGCGTGGCTGGCTTACTACGACACCAACCGAGTCAATGATCCGTCGCAGCTCATTCCACCGCCGTGCGAGTACGACACTTCTCTTCTCGCCAAGATCTTTCAAGGAAACACTCCGGCCGACGGCGCGCAGGGAGCTTCGTCATCTAGCTCGCATTCACGTGCTCGCGACTCGACGTATCCCGAACAGTCGGAGAATTCTGCGCAGCTTCAGCAGGAAAACGAGCAACTTCGCTCCCAGATCACTCGTCTCGAGCGCAGGCTGACGCAAGTCGAAGCCACTCCGGACACCGATGCGACCAGATCTGAAGGCCGGTATGCGTCGAGTGCGGGTAACGCCGCCGCGAGAGTATCCGTCCAGGAGCTGACATCCAGAGGGAAAAGTGCAGAGCCAACCCACAAGCGAGCCAGATACCCAGACGACACCTTTCCTTCGGGTGGCAGATTGGTGAGCAGTAGGTCGGTGCTGCCACCAATACATTCAAGTCGGCTGGGCGACAATGTCCTTCTACGAGAAAGGCAGAACGCTCCAAGCTACGGCGAAGCACTCCCGTCGAGAAACATCGAGACTCGCCCGCATCGAGCCAGCTCGACTTCAAGCTCGGCTTCAAGGCCTGCGCTTGGCTGGCAGGCGCCTCCGCACTATCTCGACAACATCCCGGCATCCTCTCCCACGCAAGCATCTGCAGCGCAGCCGATGGTGCCACCATTGCCGGACAGACAGAGCTTGCATCGACTCATCGAGATGTGCGAGCGCGAGGCGTGGCTGTTTGGCGCCATCAACACTTTTGCGCTCAGCGATGTCATGATCTTGCTCGAGACCGCACCGGCCAACGACACCGACACGCATACAGCGACTGCCGTGATGCTGGCGCTCGTCGCAACCGCCCTGCCTTTGCTCGCCCCGGCGTGTCCGGCCGGTATCCGGTCGTCGACGATCTTCACCAGCATCGACGCAAGGCTACGAAAGAGCGGGAAGCTGGATGGTGTGTCGATGAACGACACGATGGAGTGGATATCGACGGTCTGCAAGTTCTACGCAGACGCTGCACGCTATCTGCTCAGTCAGGTCCAGGGCAATTCGGAGAGCCAGACGCTGATTGCCTCGTTGGTCGTCCGAGTGCTTCTGGTCGAATGCTCTTTGGGGCATTCTGCGATGCGAACAGCGCAAGCCGACCTCGCCCAAGCGGCGTCGGAAGCACGACTGCTGCATCTTCACAATGCGGCTTCAACAGATCTGCCGCGTCTCGGCGAGGCTCCAAGTCGACCTTCTCATCTCGGACGAGCCCTGAGGGGCTTGGCTACGGGTAGCGAGCAAGGATTTGCATTCTGGAGCTTGTTCCTGCAGGACTGCTTCCAAAACCGCCTAGCCACGCTGCCCGTCATGCTGGAACGACAGGAGATCCAGACCAGCTTTCCAGGTCGCACCGAGTCGCACAGTCCCGTTTCTCCGCCCAAGAGGTCGGAGGATGTGGAAGCCTACATGCAGAGGCGGCGCGGTCTTCCGGCGTTTCACGTCTTGGACACTTCGATGACACTGCTGGTGAAGCTGGGGTTGGTGCTGGACCAGTGCTGCGAGTACTCGAACGTCGCGCGTCAAAGTTTGCAGGCACAAGGCGGCAACATGGCGGGAAGCGAGGTGTTGGATCAACGCTTTGGTGCTGCGCACGAAGCCATCCGCAACTCGCGCCTGATGCTGTCGCAGTACGACGAGCGCATGTCCCGCCGCACGCATGCATACGACCATTCCAACCCTACGGATGGCAAAAAGGACGCCATGGTGGCATCGGTGATGCTGCGAGATCCTCTGCGTTTCGCAGCCGAGGTGACGCATCACCTTGCCGTCCTCAGAGCGTTTGAGGGTGCGATCAATCTCGCTGCGCCTCCGCCACCTACGGGTCAAGCGAGGGATATGATTCGCAACGCCGCCATCTGGCTATCGCGCCTAGCGGATATGGCTCTCGAGCAAGCCCCTGTGCTGTTTGGCATGCCCGCGTTCTGTTCAACTGCCTTCTTTATCGGTGCACGATGGTTGTTGTTCTTACAGTCCAGCCAGCCCAACGAGTTTCACCAAGACATCGCCGCGATCGTACTTGCGCTTCGAGAGCGCGCAGCATCGTTCAAGAGCGACCTTGTTCTGGCTCGAGCCATCGTTGCACTCAAAAAGGAACGCGACGTGTACGGGCGTGTGTGCGTCTCGCCCTTCGCTTGGCCGGTCGAAGCTGTCTCGGAGTTCATCTCGATCGACTCGCAGAGCCAGCCGCGCGCGAGGCCCCAGCAGGTCTTGCCGGCACGAAAAGCGAGCTACGTCTCAATCGCCTCGCTGGCAGCTGCCGTCGAAGATGCCGCGGTCATTCAGCTCACCACCGGCACCAACGGACACTAGATTCAAGGATACCGATGAATACCAAGATCCATTTCACAGGAGACAGTGCACCGATTTTGTCTGTGCGGACGAAGCGGTTGCACGCGCTGATGTAGACAAGGTGCAGAGGTGCCGAGGAGCTAAGCTCGATTGGCCAGGCGGGCGAGTTCGCCGGTGGCCCTGTTTTCGTCGTGCACGACCTTTTCGCGAGCGGGCGATCGGAAGGTGAAATTCGCTTCAAAGGGAAGAGGATGGGAGTTTGCAGCCGAATTGAAGGCCAAGTCATCGACGTTGTCTGGTCGACCCGAGGGATGAGCGATATCGAAGCACCAAGCCATAGCCGCCAGATTAATGAGCAGCGAGCGCATGGCGACATGAAGTCCTGGACAAATACGTCTTCCGAACCCGAATGCCACCGACCCTCGCTGGGCTGCGAACCAGGTACCCTTGACCTTGAGCTCTCCCTCGTCGCCCCGGAGGAATCGTTCGGGACGAAACACGTGTGGGTCTGGATACTCTTTTTCATCCAGACTGATGGACCAGTGGGGTGCGACGACCGAGGAGCCCTTGGGAAGGAGGAAGCCACGATACTCTACATCCTGCGTGAGTTTGTGCTGGAATCCACCTGCACTGATGGGTCTCCAACGCAGCGTCTCCTGCACCACCGCATGCAGGTACGGCGTTTGCTCCGGCGTGAGGTCGGCAAACGTAGGCATGCATCGATCGCCACCACACACGCCGTCGATCTCGTCCTGGAGCTTGCGAAGCACCGCGGGGAACTTGCACATGGCCATCACAAAGATCGCCAGGCCACTCGCGGTTGTATCCGATCCAGCACCGAACAGGCTTCCTGCCATGGAGGAGCCCTCGGCGTCGGTGATGCCCAGTTCGTGCTGACGTTCTTGCACCTTGCTTACAAAGCACGGCTGGCACTGGTTGGTCTTGACGCGACTACGTACGGCGTCCCACTGCGACATGAAGAGCTTCTGTTCACGTGCGCGCAGTTCGAGCCCCTTGCGCTTCCACGGGTTGATCAGCGTGGGCAGATAGAGCAGTGGCGGGTAGCGGTCGAGCAGGCTTGTCCCCGGTCGAATCCAGTATGCCAGATCGGACAGACATTCCTCTACATCTTTGATGAGCGGATCGTCGACAGAGGTGATATGGTGGTCGTACGTCACCTGCATGATCACCGCTGCGGCATAACGTTTAAAGATCTGCTGGAATCGGTCGGGCGTTCGTCCAAGGTGCAGCATTGCAATCGTCGCCTCGTGCTGTTGAATCGGCTCGTACAGCTTAGCCACCTTATCTTGGAGTGTCTCGTGCATGACCTTGCGAAACAGCCGCCAGCGAGGGCCGTAGGGGAGGATGAGCATGCGACGGTTGTCCGAGATCAGTTCGCCTGCCATGATCTGTCGCGGTCGGTCGCTCGAGCTGCCGGACTGCTTGTCCATGATCTGATGCGCCGAAGACGCCTGTCCGAGCACAAACAGATACGTGCTGCCAATGCGCAACGTGTAGATATCGCCGAACTGCCGCGTCCACTTTTCGAGCGTGCGCCAGGGATGCGTGGATGGAATGCGGTTGCCTGTAAACCAGCTCTCCGGTGGCGGTCCAGGTGGGAGGTTGCGTGCCGACGTCGATCGCGAAACCACCGCACGCACCACGATCAAAGCCACCACCGCCACAGCTGCACTAAGCACCAGTCGTATATCCGTCATCTTGACGCTTTCTTGTACGGATCTTCGGCTAGCAGGGGTTCCGGAGCGGCGGTTTATATAGACGACGCGGATGCCAGCTCAGTTCTGAGGACGCATTGGGCCCCCACAGAGCCCGGTGGTGAGTCTCGTTGCGGCGACACAGCCTGCCAGGTGCTGACCACGACAAAGTGTGATGGAAGCCATGTCGACCAATGCACCGTGCGGCTACCTTTTTTAACCCGCAGCTGTAATTTGTGTGCAGGACCGGGGGGCCGGGTGGGGGTTGACATACTCGCGATGTGTCAAAGCTTCCATTTTGGGCGTGCGCGTCTTCCCCGCACTCGCCGCAGCCGCTGTGGCGCACGTGGCAGTGGAAGATGCACATTTGCGACTGCGACACGCCGGGAGCTACGTTCCTGCCAATGATCCTTTTGAGTGAATGACAAGACACCGCCATGTCAAGCGGTCAAGCTCCGACCGGAAGAGCGGGTTGAATGAAGGTGCAAGTTGAAGTTGTTACATCCTTCGATTGTGCACATATTGGCGCTATCGGCAGTCGGCCATTTGAACGGCTATACTCGCCGGGGATTCCGCGGCGTTTCCGTACCCCGGCGCGCTGCTTTTGGGCTCGAGGCAGCGTTGGTTCGAAATTCCAAGCCCGACTCGAGAGCACGCCCGAAGCCACCTCACGGCCACCCTTCATCGTCGTCGCTGTGGCAAGATGACGCTCAAATTGATAACGGCGACACCTTGATCATGCCTCATGAAGCAGCAAAGAGGTGATGTTGCTGCTGCGCTATGGAGAGACGGTGTGGAAGGGAAGGTCGAGGCGCCTTCGTGCGTGGTGGCGAGGAGCGTGATTGGGTCGGGGCGCGTCGCTCCGATCTGTCGTTCGCCAATGTGCGCACAAACGATGTTCGGCATGCACAAGACCAAGGCGATTAGACCGGTCCCCCTTGGCCTGCCATCCACGCTGTGCGGTGTTCCAACCCGTTCAATCTTCCCCCGAGCTGTAAATTGAGTGGACGGCTTTGGTGGGGATCCCGAATATCCGCCTAGCCGCCTTGTTCGGCCAATCCGACAGTCTCCATTGCGAATTTTTCAAAGACTTGCCTCGGACCACAAGCTCAAGCTGGGAGCAAAGTGTGACGCAGAGTGTGCCTCTGGCAAGGCAAATGTGACTTGCGAGCGTAGATTCCCGAGCGAGTCGGGTGTACCGGGGGTGGTGATGTGAGTCATGCCTCCGAGTCGCCTTGGTGGTGTCGCCCAGTGGCCACGAAGGCTTGGAATGGGGGAAGCGCCGCGGAATTTCCGTCGATCTGGCTTGCTGGCTATGCATCCGGCGTACGAGGCGAACAAATTTCGGGTCAGCTGTTCTGCCCTTTTTGTTCGTTTTCTGTGCCGAGTTTCTTTTCCGGTTGCCGGTGCAGAGAAAGGCTTTGCAGAGGAGAGGATTAGGGCAGCACGCCGAGCGACAGGGCACATCGTTTTGCCGAACATGCCGAAAGACGCCTGCTGATGAGCAGTGCCTCCGCATGCTGGGTGAGGAGACGCTCAGTTTGACCCTCTCTCCGCGGTCCCGTATGGATATCCGGTGTGCGCAAAGGCAAGGTTGGGGGGCGGGCGCTTCTTCCGTTGGCTTTGGCACTTGGTCCTAGTCACTTTGTCCTTCCCTGCTTCCAACTTACATCCTTCCTTGTGTCTCTCCTCACACCCGTTACTTCGTACCTACAACCACTTCGATCAGGATAGAAGACTCGCCGCAGTTTCTTGGCGTAGGATACGGACACTCATCCACACTCGCTTCCACAACGCCTGGCAACATGGCGCGCGACTCGCTCCAGATGCAGGACGTCGCAGCTTCCACACGACACGCAGAAATCGAGGCTGCCGCCCACGAGGGTGCCCAGATCGGGGCACTCGACTCGGCAGCGGCAGCAGCCGACCACGACACGCGCCACCACGACGAGGCAGAGACGGCACTACCCACCCGAACCCAGACCTCCGAGGGCAGCCAAACGGCGTCCGACCTAGATGAAAAGAGCGACACCCATCCCGCTACCCCGACCACCAACAAGGATGCAAAGGACGCAAAGGGAAGCGGACACTGGCTTCAACAGGACAAGCAGGTGCTTCCGTACAACAACATGAAGATCGTCATGCCCGGCATCTGCTTGATCATCTTCCTCGCAGCTCTCGACCAGACCATCGTGTCGACGGCACTGCCAGTCATCTCGCAGCGCCTCGATGGTGATGCGGGCCAGTACTCTTGGGTCGGCTCGGCGTATCTGCTTGCGTCCACCAGTCTGATCCCGCTGTACGGCCGTCTGTCGGACCTGACAGGGAGGAAGCCGCTTCTGTACATTGCCACCGCCATCTTCCTGCTCGGCTCGGCGTTGTGCGGTGCGGCGCAGAACATGGCGTGGCTCGACGCCGCACGAGGCGTGCAGGGCATCGGAGGCGGTGGCATCATCGCACTCATCAATATCATCATCGGCGACATTGTCTCGCTCGAGGACCGAGGCAAGTACTCGGGCTGGATCGGCGGCGTCTGGGGTGTGGCCTCGGTCATTGGCCCACTTCTCGGAGGCGCATTCACCGACGCCGGTCACTCGGGTTGGCGATGGTGCTTCTTTGTCAACCTTCCGCTCGGAGCGATCGCGCTCGCCATCATCTTCTTTTCGCTCAATCTCAACCCGCGCCCCAAGCTCACCTTCCGCGAGGCGTGCGGCGAGTTCGACTTTATCGGCCTCGTCATGGTCGTCGTCTCGGTGGTGCTCATCCTGCTTGGTTTCAACTACGCCGAGACCAAGTCGTGGAACCGGCCCGAGACGATCTCGCTGCTCACCGTGGGCGGTGTGCTGCTGGTGGCGTTCATGGCGTGGGAGTTCAAGACGACCAAGAAGCCGATTGTGCCGCCGCGTCTGGTGACGACGCGCACCACCTCGCTCATCCTGCTCTCGGTGGTGCTGCACGCTTTCGCCTTCTTCGCAGCCACCTACTACCTGCCTGTCTACTTCCAGGCGATCTTCGGCGCGTCGGCGCTCATGAGCGGTGTCTACATGCTGCCGTATGCGCTCATCGCCTCGATCCTCTCGAGTGTGGTCGGATTCGGCATCTCCAAGTTCCGCGCCTACAGGCCGTTCCTCTGGGTCGGCTGGGCCATCATGCTCATCGGCTACAGCCTCATGGCCACGCTCGATGCGGATACGAGCATGGCCAAGCAGGAGGTATTCATCGGCATCGCTGGTCTCGGCACGGGCTTCCTCTTCCAGACGCCCCTCGTCGGGTTGATGGCCGCCATGCCGCACGGAGACCTCTCGA